AAACTTTATATAAAGATAGAAAAATTGAAATGTTATTGTTGAATTTAACTGAAAGCAATTACCTTGAAGTAAAGCTTTGCCTATTTCATATGTTGGAATAGCTGGTACAGTACCAAACCTTTGCAGACCATAATAATTTATGAATCCAAAGTCCCTCAAAGATATCATAATTTTTTCAATTTGTTCATCTGTTCCATTGACATTTCTTAAAGCAATTCTAAAGTGATTACCACTCAACATACCCAGTTTTAAAGGTTCTTTCTCAAATTTAAAATTTCCTACATATGCTCCACGCACATTTTTTGCTGCTCTTAATATATCTGCAGGTTCCACTTTCCTCAAACAAACCCACTGAGTTGTCCATGCTCTGCGATCTTTTGTACCAGCATAATTGAAATTATTTGGCTTCAAACGTAAATTCATAGCTAATTGATTTAAAGCATCCATTGTATCCATATTTACTTTATGTAATAAAAAGTAGCAATATTCACCACCACGCTTTTTCCAATCTAATCGATTATCTTTTCGGAAATTGTGATCTAATAACAAAAAATGTTGTATTAATACGAAAAAGTAAGTCCATTTTTATTTAACACGTTGACCGCCACATTTTGCGGCTCACCATCTGCCACGCAAACCGTGTCAGATTCACCATATAATTTACTTCATTTGTTTGTGTATCATATATGTACATTCTTTAAATACTTCATTTCTAATGGTGTATAAAATAAAATTTTAATCTACACGCGATTGCGTATGAAATCCATGCACCCGTTAAAGTCGGCCGGCGTCGCGGTCAACGTGTTAAAATTAAATGTTGAACATACAAGTATCACTATTTTTTTTGTTTGGCAAAATCACCATAATCTTTTTATTCTCTTTATCTATGGTTTGACTAATAACATTTGGCATCTTTTTAACAATTGTATGAATTGCCCTACGTTGATCTTTATCTATGTTTGTTACATCAATTTCTATAGTAGATGCTTCTGGTTTCTGTAAAGTCTGTAACTGATCCCAAACTGCATCTGATATCATTTTTCTTAAGTCTTCTAGATTTTCATTTCTTTCTTCATCTAATGGAAGGTTTTGATTTGTTAACTTAGCTATTTGCCCATTAAGAGATATTTCATTAACATGAAAATCTGTATATCTTTCCTTAATTACACCAAAGAACCCTTCATCTCCTATAAACATTGTAATACCAACATCACACTCTTTTAATCGGCTTCCAACTTCCAGCTTCTTTCTTTTCCCATCTTGTTGTGAATTTGACCAATTACGCTTAAAAGGTTTTCTACCAAAATTTTCATTTCGAAACCCTTTAAAAGAAATTTCAAATAAAGAGGATTCAGTTAATTTTAGAAAATTTAATATACAAAATGTACTTATTTTTAAATCTTACCTGTATTGTATGAACTTCTGTTTCTTCTGTAATCATTATTTGAACGTCCATCTTTTCTGAAATCTCTTTTATATTGGCCACGTGTGCTTTCTTGTGAAGTTTCTTGTTTAGAATCACAACTTTTTAGATTATTATCGAAATTAATATTTTTATTTTCGACTTCAGACATTGTCGTCTATATAATAATTTCTCATAAAAATTATGACTTTAATTTCTCCCTTAAGACTTTATCTTAACTTTCTAAATCTTTAAACTAGTCCGTGTAATTTTGTTGAAATACTACAGACATTATTTACAAGACTATAACCTGCTCAATGCACGTGCTTCAAACCAGTGTTTCTCAGTCAAGAAACATTTCAAATGATTTCATGTATCCTGTAATTTTTTAATCTCCAAACATTACACAAAAGATTATTGTAAATGCAATTCGTTATTTAACAAAAATTGATAAGGTAAATACAAGTTAATGAAACTATAAATAAATATAGTAATTTATAAGTTACTATAATAAAGTAATATTATTTTTATCAAATAATTCTTTACAATAAAAAAATTTTATTTACGTATTAGTTTCTGCAAATATATGTATATTTTATTCTAATAAAATTAAATCAATGTCGCAATAATTCGATAAATCGAACATAAATATCGACGTGGGTAATCGATACAAGCATCTCATCTCTAAGTCGCACTTTTTCTTATACTATATGACTATAATTGCAATATTTAGTTGTTGTAAAAATTAAAGAGAGTTTCATCGCTGTTGCAAATAATAAGTTACTACTTTTGAGGGATACTTAACAATTACAAAATGATTTTTAAAAAAATAGTAACTCCTAATATCTTTCATAAGGTTAGACAGCTAGGTAGGTAAAATTTAAGGTGTGGAAAGGTATTTAAATTATTCCGATTTACATAATCTTGATTAACTATTTTTAATGTCATTGACATAACATTACTGATGAAAATCTTTTTTTATTAGAAATATTAATCATGGTAATATTACTTGATTCAGTCGATCATGTTAATACAATATAAAAATATACATAGTTATATCCTTCAAATATACATTTATTAATGTATATTCTTTCCGTTAAGTAGATAACGCATTGCAATATAAGTTATATTTTTATTTTTGCAGAATCACTTTCTAAAACTGGTCTTTTTGTAAATTCTTGTAAACTGCAGCAGCTTAGTAGAACATCAACTAGTCTTACCAATACTAAACAATGTTTAAATTCTAATATATTCAGCAATGGAAACAATCATTTGGCTAAGGTAATGATTTTTTAATATTATTATTATTAATATTAACAATTTATTTTGCATTAATTTATATATTATGTATATATTAGTAATAAACATTTATCTATGTTTAGTTCCCAACAACTGGCACTTTAGGAACACAAATATGCCGTAAAGGAAGTACAACTACTGGTGATCATGTACGTTTGTGGGTCATAGAAAGAATTGCTGCAGCAGCACTTCCAATTATAATACCTGCTGCTTTGATATCGGAAAGTGTAATTCTTGATGGCATAATGTCTGTATTGGTTGTGATGCATTCACATTGGTAATTATGCAACTTACAAGCTTATTATTAATACTACTTAAGTATTTTTTTACATTGCACAATACATTGTTTCATTTATATATGGATTTAATAATTTTATTTTAATTTTTCATATTATTATTTATATCAAATAGGGGTCTGGAGGCTATTATTACAGACTATGCACGTCCTTCGGTTGTTGGACCTGTACTACCAAAAGTTTTACATCTTTCATTGATTCTTCTCTCAGCAGCTACACTCTGTGGACTGTTTATACTTATAAATAATGGTCCTGGTGTTTCAAGGGCTATTAAAGATGGCTGGGCAATCGGTAAAACACCTCCTAAAGATGCTCAAGATACTCCATAATTTCTTCAATATTTTAATAGATAGTTAAAGTGTTAATTTAGGTGTTTTGTAATTCCACTTGTAAATTATTCAGAAATAAATTATTTATCTTTAAATTGTTTAATCTTACGATTAATTAAATTGTTTAATTGCTGCATTACTCATGTAGAAAGGTATGAAAAGAAAATTTGCCTGTATTAATTAGTAATTTTATAACTAGTTCTGGTTAGACAAAAAGTTTATTTATGAAAATTGTAATACAAAGCAAACATACACATGATATTTATATTATTTTCGTAATATAACATATTATTACAACATAAATTGTAGCACTTATAAAAAAATTAAAATATTTAAATTATATGTATGATTTCAATTTTAATTTTCTCCTACTTTAGCAGCTTTATCTATGAAAGATGCAAGTTTAATATCCCTCTGTGATAAACCATTTACATCATGAGAAGACAGAGTAATATTTACTTTGTTGTAAACATTAAACCATTCAGGATGATGATCCATTTTTTCTGCTTGCAATGCAACTCTGGTCATAAAACCGAAAGCCTATCAACAAAAATATGTGAAAAGAAGTTATATTCTCTGTAGTATAAAAAAAATATGAACAATGAAAAAATATTCTTGCAAAATACCTGATTAAAATTTTTAAATAAAAATTCCTTGTAAATAGCATCCCTCTGTTCTTTGACAGACCAACCATTTGACAACAATGGTTTTAAGTCTGTTTCTCGTTGTTCTGGAGTAAGTTTTCCCTAAAAAACGAAATATTCTCATAAAATGTTATGTATTAGCTTAGTAGTTAGTTCAAATATTTTCTAAATGACAAATCTTAATTAAAGAATTAGTTGTATTTATTAAAACAAAATTCAATTGTTATTTGAAGAAATTTTAGTTAAATAAGAAATATTGTTTAACGGTATCGGAAACGGAAGGATCAGATCAATATGATCAGAAACTGGTTTATCTGGTTTACATTTTGTAAGATATAACACGAAAAAATTAATTTCATGCATAGAAAAACAGTTGGCTTTATTTTTCCATTGAATGATTACAATGTTTATAACACTTCAATCCTTTTATAGTAATTATTAAACAGTCATTTGTGTAATAGATCTTACAAAATCTCAACCACTTGTTACACCCAAGAACACGAAATATATATTTTAGGTGTAATACATGTTTTACTATATTTTACTTTATTTTAAATAGAAAATACTTATAAATAAAATTAAAAATTAATT